ATTTGAGATTTTTGTGAAAAAAAAAAAAAAAAAAAAAAAAAAAAAAAGATTTCTGGAGTGCATTGTAGCATGAAAAACTTAATGGAGAAAAGAAAAAGTTCTTAAGAACATTGTTTCAAAAAATAAGAAAGGGTTAAATTATATGAAATGAATTTTTAGTTTTTAAGATCTGTTCGAGATTTTGACTAAGATCTAGCAAAAAAATTGATATTCCATTGCTTGAAAAAGGTATTATGAATTATTTCAAAATAAACTCTTTTGGAGGGGAATAAATATTATTGAAGGCCTGGGAAGAAAGTGACTGTTTTGATTGAAATTAATTCGTTAATATTGAAACTAAAAATTTAACGTCAGCAATAGTAAACAATTGCACAATGTACTGGTGAAACCTCCTTTTGTGACGAGGCATGCTTGTATACATGTAAGTTCCTAATTTCCACCTGCAATACGTTGTAACATTTTTCCCGCGAGAAGAGCGGCCTCAGGGCCAATTAGCTAGCGGTCTGTCCTTTAGTGCCACAGGCTCCAGGTTCGAATCCTGTTGGTGGCATGGATGTTTGTGAGTGGTTCGGAATCCTCTTTAAAATGTAGGTCAAGGACTGTTTAGCCCTCGTGTGCACAAGATGACTGTAGAGCGACAAACCAAACCAAATCCCATGAGAAGATTTGTAGCATTTCGTTACTAGGAGAGGAATGTATATTCTTTAAAAAGTGCCTAATAGCAACCTATCACTGAAATTTGACGGCTAATAAGCAGTGTTATGGATAATGAGACATCATGAAATTAGCGATTGCTACAACAATTGCATATGGATCGATATTGAATTAAAGGGACAGAAATGCTTCTTTTACTTAATAAAAAGTATGTTACTGGTTTTTAATAAATATTTTTATAATTTTAATAACTCAGCAATGAATTGATGGCATTCTGTTGCTGTTTGAATGATTTTTCATGGCATGCGATCATAGAGCTATTTTTTTAGCTCCGCACTTCATATGGTTTTCATATATCTAAACATGCCTCATACACTTGAAATTCTTCCTTGTTCAACAAAGTGACTAAATTTTTCGCCAAGTGAACATGCATGGAAGATAATAGGCAGCTAAATTCAGGCATTTCAAATGTTCTCAGTAATTCTGTTCAAATGTTCAAGTGTTCAAATGTTCTAGAGTAAAAATTGAAAAATGTCTGCCAAAGTGTATATATATATATATATATATTTATATAACTCTATTTACAAAAAAAATGGAAATTAAAGAACATTTGAAGTGCAGTTCACTCCTATGTCGGAGATTTTCAGAGTGTCTAATTCGTCGTCTATATCGTCGAATCTAATTGCCTGGTCTTCGGCAGACCTTAATTATCTCACTGCGGGAGAGACGAAATCATAAGAGGCTCACTTTGTAATTAGGCGGGAACACCGGGTTGTGCAATCACTTCAGAGAAAAAAACAAAAACAAAAAAACACTTTTTGTCGACTGGCCGCAGAACACCCTTTTGCTACTTGTCCAAAAATTTCCCTTTAAGAAAATCTGTCAAGAAAGGGAGGGGAGTCAGCTTCTCTCACTTCTCATTGGAGTGGATACTGCCTCAGTTCATGATTTATCACCAATTACCATGTAGCAACTCATCATGTAGTCCATATGCAATTGTTTCGATTGCATATATGTTCTCCCTAGCGCGCATGCTCATAGGAAATTATGTTTCCTATCAGCATGCGCGCTAGGGAGAAAAAGCTAACGGACGTCCTCCGGTAACTAACGTACGGTATGCAAAAACTCTCTAATATTGGCTACCCCTTCCCTAATCTGCCAGAGTGCAGTTCAAATTATAAACATATATTGATATAAAAAAAAAACCTCTATAAAATGCTTTTTAGCAAGAAATAAAATAAACAGTAAATAAGCGGAACATTTATTTCTCTCTCTCTATATATATATTTAATGAATTTTTAATATATATATATACAATTTAAATAAATACTTTTAAATGTATACTTTATATAATATCGTATAGTGTAAATAAATTTAAACTATTCATATTCTAAAGAAATGTTATGTATTAATTAGGTTAAACAGCTGTGTTCTATAGGATAAATGTATTAAATTTTGTAACAAATAATTAATTTGGCAACGCGGCAGCTGTGAAGTTTCAACAAAGAATCATGGGAGGGTAGAAGACCTTCCTGTGATCCAATCAATTACCTCTTACTGATAAAAGGTGTTCACTGCAACCAATTTTGTGTCTCCTGCTGATAATACAGCTAGAGTTTAAATGAATTACTGCATATAAAGCTTCTATGAAATAAACTGTTGTATTCGTTTAAAATTAACTCTGTCTGTTTAATTGTGCCATTGTGTTAGAATTCATAATAATATTGAAATCGAAGTTATTGTCAACATTAACTTATTTGTAACGGTTTTTGCTTATCTATCGATATAAAACAAGAAATTTGTGTGCATGTCTATCAGTAGTACTATATAAAACTATATAAATATATTAACCCAATAATAATAATATATATAGCCCCCTTTATACTATATAATATAAGCCCAATTTTTTTAAAATTAGTGTTCCATTATTATTCATTTACTTTTTTAACCCCCCCAAAAAAATCACAAAAAACTTTTAATTCATAAATTATATAAAGACTGTATTTTAATACTATAATAAAGTACTCATCATCAGAGGCGCAACAACCCATGGTGGGCCAAGGACGTCTGCCTGATGGCAGATTTCGAGACAGGAGACGTTTTCTTTTTACGGGGTAGGGTTGTCAGCACTACGCCCGACAGTCAAATGAGACCGGGACCTACTGTTTAAAGTGGATTCCGAACCACTACAAACATCCATGGCACCGCCGGGACTCGAACCCGAAACCTGTGGCACCAGCGCAAGTCACTCGGCTATCAGGTCCATGATAAAGTATTAAGATATTGTAGTACATTAATAAAATGAATTTTATTATTGGTATTTGTACAAATAATATTAATAGCCATACAAGTGTTTTTTGCCAAACTGTTTTTATAACAATGTTTTAAAAAAAATGTCCTTTTCTTTAAATGAGCTTTCTTTTTTTTTATGAATCAATTTTTTAAATTAGAATGCTCTGAAACAGAGTAACTACAAAGAAATTAGTGAATGTACGTATTTAATTTCTATAAAATTGAAATAAGAAAAGCAAAGTTAAAAATCTTAAATTGATTGCGAAGGATTTATTTATAAAAACTTTATTTCTTTGAGGGAGGTAATTATACTTTAATAAACATGATGAAAAAGTTTTTTTAAGTCGTCTAATTTCTATTCAAAAATATTAAAATCATAAAATTTATTTATTTTTAAAATTTTTAATTTAATTTTAATTTTGCATTTGCAACAATTTTTTTCTCAAATAACTATAGATTTTCATATATTATATTGCAGCATCATATTAGTTTATCATCTAATATAATTATTAATTTTATAAACTATATCTAAATATAGCACTTTAACTACGAATATTGTCATTTTTGATCAAAAATTAAACATTTCTGAATTACATACAATTGTATTTTCTTTAAAAATCTTTCTCGTTTTTTCTTTTTGTTATCGATGAATATTTGTAATAATTTGTCAATGGAAACCAAAATAATAGTAATATTAATAATAATAAATAAAAAATAAAATATACAATATTGGTTAAAAAATTATTTCAGTATTTTAATTTCGCGGTTTTAAAAATCTTATTAAATTCTATGTAAAAATTTTTTTTCTAAACAAATACAATTTTTGCCACTTTTAAATAATGTTTCGAAATTTTTTTATGACTTAACTAACTCAATTAAGCTCGAAAAAAGTGTGATAATTACAGCAATAAAATAGTAAATAAAATTAATTAATATTTTAAGTAAATAAATAAATTGATTAAAAAAATGACATGCATTACAAATATGTTTTTGCGTATTGTAAATACGAAAAATGAAAGAAATAATTATGAAATTATGTAGATTCCTTTAACCAATCTGGTCCTGCCATCTATCGTTGATCGAAGAAACTACTTTTATTTGACGAATTTGTACTTCATTTTGCATTTATGGAGAATTTCTTTCACAATTTGTGAGTAATACACATGACATGTATGCATGTACAAATGAGGAACATATGAACTGCAAAAAATTGTAACTACTATTTAAATTGGTGCAAATATAATATTTAACTGCAGTTGATTTCAAAAAAAGAAAAAAAATAATAATAATTTTTCAAACAAGATTGTGTGCATGAAAAAGAAATAATCTCGGAAATTATTTAGAACAATTTTAATAATAAAAAAAAAATAATTTTGATTGTCACTGCAGTTGAATTCCATTATAGATACTAAGAATCAACATAAATTAATTAAAATAAGTTATAAAACTTTATGGAAATATGTTTTTTTTTCTTCTTTTTTCATTGCTGGCCATTCTGATCCTCAACCACTTGCATCTGCAATGGCAGATAAGTAACAGATTCAACATTACTCAGGGATGAAACCAGAAACACGAATCCTGCTGCACTGCACCAGCATGATTTCGGACAAACACTTCCAAGGGTTTACATGCTCTTTGACACATTTTCGATTTCCACAAGGGGGAGTTTCAGGCTGACAGATTTATCGCGCCTATTCGAACGCAAACGCAGAAGTTTTCACTTTGCAATCATTTTTCAAACAAATCTTCCAAAATTCGGAACTGGTCAATGCTTGTCCACTTTCGATCAATATAGTAATGTTGAAAATTATTAAAATAAAAATATACTTTGAAAAAAAATATTAGAAAATTAAAAAAAAAAAACGGAGAAAAAATATCTTACTATTTTTCTTAACAGCTTGTTAAAAATAAATATTGTTGCTAGGTCATAATAATTTAACGTAATTTTCATAATACACTAGAAAATGAAATCCCAATCATACCAAGATTAAATTAGTTCAGAAGAATGATATTTAAGCAAAGCATTTGTTTAGGTAACGTATATATTGGATTACTTAGATCACCGAAGTCAAGCATCATTGGGCGTGGTCAGTACTTGGGTGGGTGACCACCTGGGAACACCACGTGCCGTTGGCATTCACAAATGTGGGACCTGAATGGCCGAGTGTCTAGCGCTCTGGCGCTCGGTGCCACAGGTTTCGGGTTCGAATCCCGGCGGTGCCATGGATGTTTGTAGTGGTTCGGAATCCACTTTAAGCCGTAGGTCCCGGTCTCCTATGACTGTAAGAGCGCCACGGAGGCAAAGACACGCTTCTACCTACGGGTGCTCCATCACAACAGAAGCTGCTTCCTTCCCCTTCAATCATGAGTACGTATGGGCTCGTGGGCTTGGCCAGCCAAGTGGGATAAGAAACAACAACATATATTGGATTACAATGTCAAGATCATTGGATAAATGCGTGAGGAGAGTCATTGTAAATATAAAATTGTGGTCAATTAATAGCCTCTATAGTTTGTCTTGGGGATTTTAAATGCAAGCTTGCAAACGTGAATCCATTATATCGTACAGCTGCATTATGTCATTATGTGGAATGGAGTTTCATACCTGTTGCCAATGGTCAGTCAAATTAGCACCCGTTCACAGGGCCGGATTTAGATGAAAAGAGGCCTTAGGCTATTCCACTTATGAGGCCCTTTCACCTCCCATTTTTAAGTTTGTAAATTACATGAGAGATAATAAAATACATCATTACTGTGATAGATATCAATATGTTGAATGAAACATGTTATGATTGGTACTAATCTTTATAAAAAATGTGGCACGGATAATAAATAAAAAAAAAAGTCGAGAACCCTTATTTGAACATTTATTCTCAGCACCCTATATAGTACTTGTAACAATAACTAATCAAACATAACACACACCATTTACAAAGAAACAAAATTCAAATAATAAAAAATTTTGACTACGAAAATAAGATGTGCAATAAATATTGTCATATTTTCTATCAAATTAAATTAAATATATTCAATACAAACGAACAGACCCAATGAGCCGTACGCGTTGATCTTAACCAATACATTTTTATGTTTGTTTATTAGTCATATGAGTAGAATTTCTCCTCATTTTCTATTCACTGTTTTAGTGTTTACTGTTTTTGGAATAGTATAATTCTAATTTTGCTAACAATCTTGAGGCCCTAGGCTGAAGCCTAGTGAGCCTGTAGGAAAACCCTGCCGGTTCATGATGGTTGTGGATGACGATGGATCTGTCGTCTATATGTCCCATATGTGCTTTAGAGAAAGATTTGGCTAAGGGAACATGTGGACACTCTGTAGAATACGTTGGGGGACAGCAATGGTATAAAGACGAACGTTATCCTTTGGAAAACACCTCTGAAATAGTGATTAAAAATGGTAGCCCAACCAGTTCAATAACTAATGTAATTGGTCAATGAAATTAGCAGTGGTCCATGTTGGTTGCGGATGACGATGGATCTGACATATAATAATGTCTCATGTGTGTTCGATTGGAGAAAGATTTGGCTAAGGAAACATGTCTACACTCTGCAGAACACGTTGGGGGACAGCAGAGATACGGGGACGAACGTTATCCTGTTGGAAAACGCCCTCTGGAATAGTGATTAAAAATGGCAGTCCAATCAGTTCAGTAGCCAATACAATTGGTTAGTCACATTAGCAGCGGTCCATATTGGTTATGGATGATGATGGATTTGTCGTCCAATAAAGTCCCATATGTGGCTCTGTAGATGAAAGATTTGGCGAAAGAAACATGTATACACTCTGTAGAACACGTTGGGGGATAGAAGAGATACGGGGACGAACGTTATCCTGTTGGAAAACGCCCTCTGGAATAGTGATTAAAAATGGCAGTCCAATCAGTTCAGTAACCAATACAATTGGTTAGTCACATTAGCAGCGGTCCATATTGGTTATGGATGATGATGGATTTGTCGTCCAATAAAGTCCCATATGTGCTCGATAGGAGAAAGATTTGGTTAAGGCAAGGATGGGCAAACTTTTTCGGTCGCGGGCCAAAAATCGAATAAAAAAAAGTTTAGCGGGGCGAGATAAATTTTTCCAAAATTTTAAAAACAATATACAAGTATTACAATTTAAATATGTTAATGAGATGAAGGAAATTGCGATTTCATTTTTAAAAGTTCCTTATATTGTGGTTCGAAGTGAGATGTACTGGTTCTAAGGAACGAGGCTAAATGCTCATTTGTCAGACTACTTTTGAAATAATTCTTTCCATTATTGCTTACATATATAAGATGAAGCAAACATAGCACTGATTTTCTGGGAGTGAGATATTAGATTTGGGAAACTTTCTTTCGGTAACGATTTGTAAAACTCTAACTTATTGGCGCCAATCTACAGCTATAACTAACAAAGAACTTCCGCTTTGTAATACTTTCCCGATTGGAAGCTGTCTGTGCTTGCTATTTTAGTCGATTTATGTTTGAAGATCAAAAATAGAGAAAGTAAAAAGATCATCAGTCCTTTGGAAAAAAGGAAGAAAAAATAATATTTCATCAAAGTAGAAAAGGATATGGATATATAATATATAAATACATATTTCTTTTAATTTGCCTCGGGTCGACAAATTAAAATTCTATCCGCGGGCCGTAATTTGGGTGCCCTGGGCTAAGGGAACATGTCGACACACCGTAGAACACGTTGAGGGACAGCAGTGGTATGGGGATGAATGTTAACCTGTTGTAAAACGCCCCCTGATCAAAAATAGCAGCCTAATCAGTTCAGTAACCAATCTGTTAAACCAAAAAGGATAACGATGATACCTTCCACTGGGCCGAGAGTCTGGGCATTGAATGTATTAAATAGCTTTTTACTTAATATTTATACGGATTAAAGACGTTAAGGAATTTGTCATCTTATTGAACTTCTTCAGAAAAATACCTATTTTTTATTTTATTATTATTATTTTTTACTTTATTTATTTACTAAATTAACTCGTAACCTTAAGCAATGACAGCCAGAAATAAATAAGTTATTCCAAAGATATTGCATTTTGCGGGAATTAAAAATATTGATTTTCTGTCTTCGAAAAATGAACGGTAATTGATCAGGATGACGAAGAAAACAAGGCGCAATAATCGTTTGTAGCACTTTAGCTTAATGATCGCTTAAATAAATTGAATCAATGACATTTTAATAAAAAAAAATACCTATATTTATAATAAAACAATATTAAAAATACTATTAATAACACTATTAATATATTATTTTTTAGATCCACTATTAAAGCAATCACTTTACGAAGCCAGACTGAATCTGTAATTGTAACCAAAATAAAACAAGATATCAAGTTCCTAATGAAAATGGTAAATGCATCACTTTCCAGTGGATTCCCTCGCATGTTAGAATTGATGGTAACAAAATGGGAGAACTTCTGGAAAGAAAAAATAAATAAATAAAAGGAGCAGAAGTTCCTGGACAGCGTCCAATACCTCTTGACTCTATTAGAAGAATTGTACACGACAAAATTAAATCATCGCGTATAAGTGATTATCTAACACCAAAGGAAATGTCTGAAAGACAATCAGGGATGACTGAAAAAAACTGAGTGGAAAAGCCCGTAAAGAGGCTGTTGCTAATTCTAAACTAAGAACTGGACACGACTGTCTGGCCGAACATCTTGTCGAAATAGGGACTGTGAATTCTGGTATATGTGCTTTATATAAGAAAGAGAAAATGAATAAGGCCCATCTACTTATTGGCTCGGGACTGGACTCTAACATACAACAGAGTGGTGATTTGTGTACTCTTTATTGGAGGCCAGAGAAAACATGCTTTGATCACACGGACTTTTATTAGGGTGTTTCTAACTTTTTAAATGTTTATCCTTAGAACATTTGACTTGTTTCTATTGACTTTTGCGCGTTTTTGTTAAGAATGTCTGGTCTTTTCAGTGATTTTGATTTGTTTATGTATATATATTTTTGTTTCTACGGTAAGTGGCAAAATTTGTATGGATTGAGTTCCAATAAAGCCATAGGTAACAACAACAACAGTTCTTGTTTATGTTTCCAATAATCCCGTGACTATGGAACGTGGTTAATGTTGTTATAATATCATAACTAATTTCTGTTTCATTGATTGATTGGTTGAACGCGGACGCATACCCATGACTATTGAACTGGAGGATAACCTTCAAATATAAAGACTAAGCATTTTTATTTATGACTTGAGAAACTAAGTAGTAGCTAAGTAGTTATAGTCACTTATTTTTGAGACCTTTTGATCGTTTTTGTTAAGAATGTCTTTTGTTTTTGTAATTTTGATTGTTTCCACGGTAAGTAGCCAAATTTGTATGGATTGAGTTCCCAATAAAGCCATAGATAACAACAATAACACTATTAAAACCAAAATTTCATTTTATAGAATACATTTATAATAAAACTGATTGTTTAATCATTTCTTTGTTTCAATAGGTGCAATGCAGCTAACAGCTGTGTTTTCCGTTACGTTACTTGTTATTTGTGTTTCATTATTTGTTAAACTACAAATAATGAATAATATATTGTACGATACATACTGTATATGCGTTGTTTTTTATTTGAACTGGAAATAAAAAAAGAAGAAGTAGTTTCCAAATGTTGAATATGTTAATCTCAAATTATTTGCCACAACTACTCAGACATGTAATAGATTCAGCAGTGCTAAGAATAAACCACAAAGGAGCTTATTATAGCACATCTTCATTTTTCCATCACAATTTTTAAACGGACACCTAAAGAGTGTAACGCCGTATCTCATTAGACATAAAAGAAACTTTCACCCGATTCGTGGCTCAGCTGCAACGCGTGCCGCTGGTGAGCATTAGGGTGGAGGTTCAATCAGCTGGTGGCTTTGTTGTAGAAGCTTTTTCGAAAAATGAGGAGACGCGATAGCGATTGTGGTGTTCAGCATCTTGCCTCGTTAGTCAGACTGTCTTGTGGGAGTTTACCGGGTTTTCTCACGTACGGTACGCGAATGCTGAGTAGTTCCCCCTAAAAGTCCTTCCGGAAGGACTGCACTCCTTCTTCAGCGACACGTAACCAAGTCAGACTTCTACCTACGGGTGATCTATCGCAATAGAAACTGC